AGTTCTTATATTTAACTTTGGCTTAAATACACGTTCAGAGTGTTTAGCCAAACAATGATTCGTACGGATGCTGTATAAATTATTTTACTGGCTAAGAAATATTTCAAGAGATATTCAAGACGATCCTGAAACACAAGAACTGACTGTAAACGAGCCACAGCGCGCACCAGTGCAGGCAACCGAATTCGCTAGGAGATGGAAACAGCCGTTTAGCAATTTGCAAAATAACGCCGAGTGAACTTTTGACTGAAGAAAAAAAAAAGGACGAAGCACGGGGTGGCGGAACGCGAATGCGTTTCCATTTCTCTCCTCCCGAGAGAAATTAAGGTTGCCACGCCGAATCCTCGCGCGAGGTAAGAACCGCCGTGCGAGCCTATCGACGTAACGCGGTTACGTTTTCGCAATTATACCGTTCCGTCGACCGACTTTTCTCAATTGCTCCGTATATCCGAGATGAAAAGCGCGCCCGGCGCGTTTCGCTTAATATCAACGGCGACGTACCTAAAGCAGATAGCCTGAGACGCTTATGGCCCTCTCGAGCGATATTTTCTAAGTGCACGCCCGCTACGGTGGAACGTTAGCCGTCCCCCTCTCTGCCCCCCCTCCTCCCCCCTGCCGTACCATTGCCCGGCAGGTAAACAAGCTCTTTATACACGTACAACGCCGGCGTACGTACGACGCGGCACTGCAATTACCCTGTCTATCTCGCAGCCGAGGTACGGCGAGCCGTGCACGAGCAGGAGGGGAAGAAAAAAAAAGGAAGGAAAAAGGGAAAGCTCGCCACTCGTGCACCGGCCGTCGCGCCGCGGAGGCTCCAATATCGGGATGTTGGAACGTAAAAATGCGCGGCGTACGTCGCGTGAATACACGTGGACCTCCCCCGCTCGCGTGTCATATCGTCAGATTATTCGCGCGTCTCCCCGATCTCTCGATATTTATAACGCGCCCCGCGCGTAGGCGCGTCTTTCTCTCTTTCTCTCTCTCTCTCTCTCTCTTTTTCTCTCTCTCCCTCTCTCTCTTTCTCTCTCTCTCCACTTTCCCCGACCCACTGCGACCTTTCACATTCGCGATGTCGTACGCGAGAAATTCGCTCGGCGGCCGTAAAATGCGAGGGATATATTTAATCCGGACGATAAGATAAGACGCGGAGCGTTACCGGTTTTTTTTTCCTTTCACGTTTTATACGTACGAGAATACGGGAACGTATCCGAGACGCGAATCCCGTCCGACGTGCGCTCTAAAGACGAAGTGCGCTCTTGAGCTCGGAAACGAGATTCGCCCATTGACTTTATCGAGGGGCTTATTCTCGTATGCAGGCCGTACGCTCACCGCCAAATACGGTTGTGACCCCCATTCCATGTTTACGTTGAATGCGATCGCGATGATAAACGTGGAAACGTCAAAATCCGGACCCTCCACGCACGCAGCCGTCGCGAAGCGAAGGGACCTCGCTTCTAATTCCGAACGAAAAGTTCCTCGAAAAGTTATCTCCGCACTGAAAAAAATTTCTGGTTGAATATGGACGAATCAGATAATTCCTTTAGGATTTACCAGAATTCCTGTAATCCTACAGAAATTCTGGTAAATCCTAAAGGAATTCTGGTAAATCCTAAAGGAATTATCTGATTCGTCCATATTCAACCAGAAATTTTTTTCAGTGCGAAATAATATGCCGCGTCGAGTAGCGATTAAAAAAAAAAGGATGTCAAATTTCCAAGTCGATTTCGAACGGAGCTGCCAGCCGAATACGTGGACTTTCTGATTGATTTTATTGTGCACGTAAAATTCGACGGTGTTTTGCGACTAGTAATACCGGATATGCAGGCTGATTCATGAAGTTTTATTCCCGCTTATGGAACATATTTCCTGCAAACTTTCCTTATAAATTTGCGGTCGATATAAATTTTCCATCTTTGACGCACAACGCAAAATTAAGGAAAACGAAAAGTAATAATATGTTTTTGATATTTCTCATTTGTATTTGTAACATTTTCCTATTGAAATTCTCAAAATACTATTTTCCTTATAAATTCGCGGTCGATACAAGTTATTGATCTTTGTTGCACAGCGCAAAATTAAGAAAATAAAAAAGAAATATATTTTTAGAATGTCTCTTATTTAGAAGATATCAAGAGCGTTTGTTTTCGTAACATTTTTCTATTGAAATTCTAAAAATACTAGTTTCCTTGTAAACTTGCTGTCGATACAAATTTTCGATCTTTGTTGCACAGTGCAAAATTAAGGAAATAAAAAAAGAAATATATTTTTAGAATGTCTCTTATTTAAAAGATGTCAAGAGCGTTTGTTTTCGTAACATTTGCCTATTGTAATTCTAAAAATACTATTTTTCTTATAAACTTGCTGTCGATACAAATTTTCGATCTTTGTTGCACAACGCAAAATTGAGGAAATCAAAAAGAAATACATTTCTAGAATGTCTCTTATTTAAAAGTTGTCAAGAGCGTTTGTATTTGTAACATTTTCCTATTGAAATTCTAAAAATATTACTATTTTCCTTCAATTTTCGAAAGGGGTGTCTGAGTACGAATCGGATCCCATTTGCATGTTAACATTTTGACTCGTAGCGTAAGGCCTCGTGAATCACCCTTGGCGTGCGTGCGTTCGGAAATAGTAGACGCGCAAATCGACACCACGGCGGCCGGTCGTTACGTTGAAATCAATTTTCGCGCTCGCAGATTCGCTTATTTCGAGATGAAAGCGAGCGTACGCTCACGTCGGCCGACGAGCCACCGGATGCGAGCCCTCGTCGATTGCGAGTTTAGTATTCGCGAGGACCGGCGGGGATGACGAATGCCGGGCCGATGGCGGCAACAAGCGGGCCATCGCCGGCACCCGTATTGCGAATATTCGACTCGCGTACGCGCCGACCCGCGGCTCGGCATCCATCAAACGTCCTGGTACGTGCATGCGCGCGCGCGCGCGCGCGCGTCCCCGCGTACCCTCGCGTGCATCCGCGCGCACGTGTCGAGACGCAATCGCGAGGATCCGCGGGCGGATCGATGCGAGTCGCGCGCGCGATGCGAGGCGGCGCTGCCGGGACCCGCGAAACCGTATGAATATTCCGCGCGTGCATCGCACTCCGAATGCACGCGGCCGGCCGAGGCGAGATATTGAGCCGGGATGCCCGCGAATCCGAACGGCAATTCCGAAGGCGGCCGTACGCCTCTCGATATCGCCGGCTCCGTTGTATACTTCGGGGGACGATCTCTACTTTTTGCGTTACGCTCGAACCTTCCGACGAGTCTTCCCTTCGATATTAATGCGGGGCCTACGATGCGAGTCGCAGAGTCGTAGTCGTAAGAATAATCGACTGCAATTGGTCAATTCCGTTAGACACACAAGAATTGACCAATCATAGTCAACTATTCATACGACTACGACTTTACGACTTCTATGTAGACGGGGCTTGAAATAACCCAAAGTTGCTCGTCCCGTCTGCGCGGCAAGTCTCATTCGAATTTTCCAATTCTCGTCAATCGCTCGGACAGACGTGTAACATCGGGGGAGAAAAAACCACTGAAACAGTTACCAGAAGCGCGGTAATTGAATCACGAAGCCTCGCGTCCGAATATGGCTTTGTCGTAAAAACTGCAAGTTGATTGGCCACACACTTCTCGGATCGCGAGATCCCGGACCGATTTCTGGCCGTCGTGGAAACGGGGCTTTAGAAATTACTGACGCACAGTAATTATTTCAGTGCTTGTTTACATCTGCGCGAGGGCGGATTTTCGGAAAAATTGAAATGCAATAACCCAATTGTACATTAGAGTCGACGCCGCTGCTCGAACCGACGCGAGTCAACGAGAACATAGATCGCTCGTCCCGTCGTCCGTTGGGACAACAGTATCGCCTCTTTTTAGCTCGCCACCCTCCGGTTTTTCCCAACTCATAAGTCATTGCTGCATGGTCAACCGATACGGCGGCGCGCGCGGGAGTGGTGGGAAAAGTGGCCATGCGCCCGCACACTTACGCGGCCCCCCGATTATGCGAGGGAGCGCGCGATTTCAAAACACGAGGCGCGCCCCGCGCGCGCGCCGAAATCGATCCGCGCGAGTCCTCGCGCTCCGGTATACGCGCTCGGCCGAAATTCTCGCGAGTCTTGCGGCTATGTTAATATTCCCGAAGTGCGTATCGATATCCGCCCCGCGCACCCAGCGCTCGCACGAAAATTGCGAGAGCCGGGGCTATTGGATTCGAGTAGCGTCGCGCTAGGCTAGGGCGGCCGTGCGGGATAGTAGTAGGCTAGCGCGCGTGTGCCCCGCGCGCCGCAATTACTTAATTGCTCGTATCTGATTGGGCCCGCCGCGGGGGAGGGATAACGGTGTCCTCGGTTCGTGATTTGCGCGCCGCGCGTGCAACGCGCTTCCATTGGCCGGGTTACCTGGGCGGCCGACGAATCAGCCATTCATTTCTGGAACCCCCGCACTGCCGGCGCTAGTAAACCCCGAGAGAGAGAGAGCGAGAGAAGAGCGGAGAGGAAGCGAGAGACTAACGGCGGCCAAGTATGAGGTGCGCGCGCGCGCGCGCGCGCCAGAGAGAGGAAGAGAGAGGGGGAAGAAGAAGGGGAGAGAGAGAGAGAGAGTGAGCGAGTGAGCGAGAACGACGAGTATCGAAGTTTCGAATGCGCCCGACATCGATAGCCAGCCGCCGTCGCCGTGCTGCGGCAACGCCGCGGCGCGTCCTCGCGACAGTATGAGGCCGACGCGCTTCGCGTGTCGCAGAAATCGTAGAGCCGCGAGAGACGCGAGAGCCGGAGGGGAAAAGAGAGAGAGAGAGAGAGCGAGAGAGACGCGGGAACAACGCGAAAGAAAAGAGGGGGGAGGAAAGGGAAGGGAGTAGAGAGCGAGCGGGAGAGAAATATCATCGTTACGGGACAGAGCGCGCGTCGTGACAAATGCCGGATAACAGATAGAAAAGGAAAAAAAGGCGACGCGGAGAACAAGAAGGGAGCGAAGGAGAGGAAGGAAGGGAAGGAAGCGAAGCGCCGCCGCCGCCGCCGGTCTCTCGGTGGTGGCCGGTCGGCGGCGCGGTGGGGCGCAGGCGACGCTCTCTCGCGGTAGCTGCGCCAAGCGTCAGTATCAATATGGCCGTTGACGTGAGCGCAGTGCGCGCAGAGACGTGGACGCGATAGTAGTCTCGGTTCGATCCCCCTAACATGAGGTATACTGCGACCAGGAGGGACGCTTTTACGTAATACCCGGATATAACCAACGTACCCGGCACGTACCCGTTAAAATGAACTGCGCCGCGCCCGTGGCGGCCGCGGCGGCGGTAGCCGCCGCGAGCGGCGAGCAGATCGGCGCGGTACAAGGTACGTGGTGCATCGTCCTCGTCGAGCAACGTGCGTACCACCGTCCGTGCCTTCACGACCGAGGAGCGGCGACTCGCGCCGTCGATGTTTACGGAGAGCGCCTCGACGCCGAGACCCGCGGCCGAGCCAGACGGAGAGAAAGGGAGAGGGCGAAAGGGGGAGAGAGAGAGAGAGAGATCTCGCCGCGATCGATTCGCCGTTCGTCGCCGCCGCTGTGATTCAACCGTGCCGTCTCTCCGGACTCTGCGCGCTACTATCCGCGTGGACCCCCGCGGCCGCGTGACTTCGGACGCGCACGACGACGTGGCTCGAAAACCGAAAGTGTGGTGTGCTCGCGCTCGCGCGCTCGTTTTCGTTTCGGCAGGCGAGAATGAAAAAATGCGCCGCGCTGGAGTCTCGTTCCCGCGGACGAGTTCGCTCCTGCCCCCTTCCTCCGGAGAACAATTACTACGACGGGGAGTCGACGAAATTCTCGCCCGGCGTCCCCCCCAAAGACAATCGATACGTCCTCGGGGGGGGATTTACCGTCGCCGTGTCCCGCTCCGACGACACCGCTTTTGTCGGGCCCTCGGCTGATTTGCGCACGGCCGATCGACGCGCGGCTTCAATCGAGAGGAATTCTGGCCTTTCTTCAACGACGACTCCGAACGGCACGGGATCGGGTCGTAAAACTCTCCCCGTTTGTCTGGCCCTCCCTCGAGACCCTGCACACACAGTGAAACGGCTCGGAAAACGTGGCATTCAGCTGTGAACGTTACGGAAATATACAACCGGCTTTTCGGTAATTTACAGTCCGCATGGGTCTCTCTCTCTCACTCGCTCGCTCGCTCGCTCTGTCTCTCGGCACCTGCCGCCGCGGCAGATGTTAAGAACGGTCAGGGTTGAAAGAAAATGACGGGCAGTTTGGAAACGTGCGTGAATTACTTAAGGAAGACTGTAACAGCCGTTGAACGTTCCTTCTCCAATCGACGCGACGGGCTCCGAATTTACGGATGAAACGCCGCTGATAGATTCCGCCAGCTCCAATAAATCAGACCTCGCTTTTTCCGAGTCGTTAAAATCGACGCTCTCGAGCCGCGTCGGGGCGACACGCACCGTTTCGGCACGCGTGCTTTAAACGCGATCTCTTCCAGCCGCGACGAGTATAATACGTTCATCGATATCGAGTGTCTCTCGCGGCTCCTCGGCGCGGAAACGCGCGCGCGTCGTTCGCCGGCACGTTCCCCTCGCGCTACCCGTGCACGCTTAAAGATTCCACGTTTCTGGATTTGATGTTTAGATATCAAAAACGCAATGTTTAACCACGACGGAGGGTCTAAACTAAACAGTGACGACGCAAAATCAACAATTATCGAGTTATTTCCATGGGTCTCAGAATTTAAGAAAATGTGCAAATGTATATACGCAGACAAGAGTATGGCTTCTTTGGCAGAGCTTATGCAGTACTATATCAGGTAATCTATCAATCACCTCGTTATATCGCGCGCGGTACCGCACTCAGTTCACCAGTATTATCGTCCTGAGCACTGGTGTCACAATACCGTTTGCATGCGTGTACGCTCGGTGTGTAGCGATAATTGACATCCCCGTCTAGAGATAAGTAACGGATTCATTTGCACGAAGGGTGAAATTTGAGTTGGCGAATCCAGCCGAACCGCGTTCTTGCCGCACTGACCCTTGGATTCGGATACATTTTTTTTCTGACAAATATCGCGTTTCCAAAATAATCTCCCCCCCCCCCCCCGGGAAAGATAATGATTGCAATAAATGATCGGGCCGTAACGAAGGATTACAAGTTCTTTTTTGAAAATAAAAAACGACCGTTTCGAAAGCAGCAAGTGTCGTGTAACAATTTCCCATTGCAAACGCGAAGACGATAGCGGTACGAAACTTTGAACGAATTTTCGAGATGCAACGCGATGTAAATTGACAATGTAAGCGGCAATAATTCATAACTTTAATAACATTCGACGTGGAGTTAATAAACTTTTTTAATGTAGTGTTGTTTGTTTCTTTTTCTTCAATATAATTGAACAGCTTGTCGCCGCTTCCGTTTTGTTAAATTGAAAAACGTTAGCTACGTGCATCGCACGCACGAAGCTTCCTCTACGCGATGTCATTATTGAACTGATCTTGAGGGTCATCCCGCTATTGCACCGACCCTCTCAATTGCTTAATCAGATTGTGTCTGAAGGTCAAAAAAATATTGTCTTATCTATCACAAGGCAACGCTTGACTCGCGGAGAAAGTGTTTAATCGTTCACCTAAATTACTGGCGCAATTTATGATTCCATATAGATTATTGCGAACGTTATATCGTTCCATCTTCTACAAAAACGTCGCGAGCTGTTTAGACTCTGATATTGCGCATTGTATCTCGAAATAATCATAGTGTTTGTTATTCAAATGGCATTTAAAAGTATACATTAATATACCTGCACACACGTATTAGCTTAACGAATGCTCGAACATATCCATCGTTCGTCTCTTGCACAGGTCAATTTGTTTTTAATATACGTAGAAATCTTTACGTACCAACGGTCTAACACGAGGGAGAAACCGCTGGCCAAAATCTTGTACACCAATGCCCACTCATGTCCAGTGGGTATTACTTTATTCTACCACTTTATGTTATCTTATCTTATTTTTATAATGCCCCAGCAAGGCCTAATGTCCAAACTAATGCTGAAAAAATGCCCGGTAATGCCGCAAATATGTACACCACAATGCCCTCAGCGGTTTACCCCTCGGTCTAACATTAATATTGTCGTACGGCAGATGTACATCTTTCATTTTTATTACAGAAATGTAAGTATCAGTGTGAATGAATGTTATACAAGGCCTTTACGAGCAGCAAAGTTGAAGGATTCTATTAGTGAAACCTTACTTTTGTTCTTATATATCTATCGCGAGCTTTCTGAGGTGAGTTGAGCAGCCTGTTATGTTACATTACAATAGCGTAGAATACTCTTTTCGCTGTACGCAGCCTTTTGTATATACCAGCCACGTTTAAAATAAAACAAGATTCGTCGTTTGTTTTTTTTTCAGGACCGTAATATATCTATTTACTTAAATAACATGTCCGATTTATTGGCATTGTACATAGATATGGAATTAAAAGCTTCAAAAAAGAGTAAAGAAGATCATAGCAGAATTTGTACAAGACTTACTTCTTGTCTTTATGTATATTTAGGTATGTATCTTGAGCGTTGTTGCCTAGTTCCACTGATTTCGCTAATAATAATAAAATCTTTCTGCATTTTATCCAGAACATTCCACAGAGCATTTGTTAGATACTTTGATAAAAACGCAATTTATGTGCCGGGGTTATCACCGTATTTTAGATCCGATAATAACGTAAGTATATAATGTACGAAATTTAACTTTGATGAAACGAAACTCTCGACATTTTACTACATCGTGTCCATCTTATTATAAATTGCTACACAGAGATTTTATACGTACTACTAAAAACATTCCATATTGCACGATTATCTTACAGAGTTGCTATCTTTTACAAATGTACTTTACGCAATTTTGTATCAATAAATTTCAATTTACTCCAAAATCGATATTAAACGCAAAATATATGTAAACTTATCTTTTTTTAATACACTTTTGGAAAGTATACATATCAAATTTTCTTTAAAATGTCGTTATATGTATGTCTTTTTATCTGATTTCAGAAAAGTAATTAAAAATATTCCAACGTATCCCGAATCAAATATTATGTACATTCGTTATCTTCTTATTTATTGTCTTTGGAGAAAGATAAATAGCGATATAAGCGTGAGAAGTCAAATTACTACAACCGCAATTGCCTCTCTGGGAGCACCACCAGCGGCTTTCCCACCATGCGTGTTAGAAGATGTATTACCGAAAGTGCCAAAGTGTCAACCAAATTCAGCAAAATATCTGATGCAGCAGAAATTTGACATAAGAAAATGCTGTGAATTATTTATACAGTTCTGTAGAGAGAGCAGAGGAGGTACATGGCAGCAAAAAAGTGAAAATACATCTACAATTCCAAGCTCATCCAAGAGGACTACTTCACAACTGGTAAATACATGTTATCCCAGATTTAACGCGACACTCGTTAATAATATACATTCGAGATCATTTTGAAATAAAAATTCCGATACAAAAATAACAAGGCTGTGATAGGCTATTACATGAGACATGTGACTAATTAAATCTTTCAAAATTCACTGTGTGGCTATACCGCACAGGCATACTTAGAATTGTATCAATTTTGAAAAGATAAGATTGATGCTTGAAAATACCTTTATGGTTGTTTGCCTGAGCGCGTCAACTTTGGACCAAATGATCTCGATAGGCATTAATGGGCGATCGCGGTAAGTCTGAGGCAGATTAATCCTGTGTATGTTATTATCATGTTTCTTATAAATATTGTATGTTTTCGTATATTTTTAAAACTATTTTAAACATTATGTTAAAATCCTACTTGACATATAGTAGGAAATTACTTTTATGCAAATTATCAGAAAATCTTTGTACATAGATCCCTATTTGGTCCCCGTTTGGCTTGTTACCGTACTTAGTAGAACTTTGTGTAGGTGAATAATAATAAGACTTTAAATATAATTGAATATTTTTTATTAAGACGATATTTGCATAAAGGTAATAGTACTGAAATTATTCTTACAAAAGAATAATGAATTGCGTATATTTTTAGCTGGAAGTTACATCACGCGAAAATATGGAACGTATCGAAAATAAATTTGTCTCCTCAGATAAAGATATGAAAAAAGATTCCGTTTTGTCAAATAACTTAAAGTCTTCAAATTTAACAGAACAAATAAACGTTAAACCTCTAGGCACAATTTCTACAAATATTTCTGTAACACGAACTATCTCTAAATCGATGAAACTGAAAGTGCTTCCACGGAAGAAGGCTAAAAAATCTAATAAAATTGTAATAATCGATCTTACAACCGATATCGCTTCTGAACGATGTATAAAAAAGAGGAAATCGAGAAAAGTTGCATGGCTCGAAGAAGCTAAGAAGAAATTTGATACAAAGGCGATAAGGGCGTCACAGAAGATTAAGACTCAACAAATGACGGAAAATGTAAATTTTTTGAAGAAAATAACTGTTAACCAGCCATTGGAAGATTCGCTTCAACCCATACATGCCACAGAAAATACAACTTTGAAGAATGATTTGAGTGCGTCTGCAATACAGGATATGAAGTTGAATAACGAAAAACTGAAATCCATGCAACATCTTGATACAAAGCATAAAAATACGTCAGTCAATGGTAACACAGTACCTACAAAACAATTGATAGACATGAATAGCAATGGCAAAAGTGAAACTGTTGGGTTGCTGCACTGCACAGTCTCTTCTTCTGTAATCGTTGATAGACCACAGTCTAATAAAGCTAAAACTTGTAGAAATTCGTTATTGGATATTTCAAATAACGCTAATGAAGTTAGCAAACGTCATGATGTTAATTTGGAAGCAAGGAATAATGAGAGAATAAACGATAGGCATAATGCACAGACTGTGATTAAACGACTGATAGAAAAAGACACTCCGCCTGAAAGTGAAACCTGTAAAAGAGTTGAAAGTTTAAGGAAAATCTGTGATTTAGGAACAGAGCACTCTAAAACTGTAAATACTCCTTCGATATGTGCCCAAGATGATTCCAAAGATGAAGATGATAGCTCTAATCATAATACTAACTATCTTAGTACAACTAAAGATAAGTTATCCCCGCATGTAATTTCATCTCTGGAGCACACACATCGCAGAAATAAGACAAAGGATGGGACAAATGACGAGAGAATAGAAGATTTGGGTAAGAAACGTGTTCAGGAAGCGATAAGTAATGAAACGCAGTGCTTGAAGTCAACCAGAATTGATAGCGAATTAAGTAAAGAGAAATTTGCGGTTTCTACGACAGCAGCTGAAACTCGTACTACAACAACGGTGAGTAATGTGGAGATATTAATAAATAATGCAACGGAATCTGAGCGGTTGCAACGATCGTGCATCACTGAAAGCATAAGGCACTCACAGGAATCTGAATCTCAAGATAAATATGTATCAACAAGCCACGATGTTGCAAATAATACTGTAAGTATTAGCCTAACGAACGGAGACCATTCTAATGTACAAACAGATTTAAAAGTTGGTACTTGCATCGAAGTAAGCGATGGCGTAAGCAGATTCTCTAATCGTAAAATCAGAGAGACTATTTTTGAAAATCACACAGCTGATAAGAAAAATATTTCTGATATTCTCGACATGTCACTGTGTTCAAAAGAGGAAGGAGTCAATGGTGAGGAAAATATCGGCTTGAAAGCAAATTATAAAGGAAGCGCAGAAGTCGAATCTAACAGGAACTGCAGTAGAGAAGGTAACATGGAGGAACTGGGAAGATCTTCTGTACTGTGCAAGAAGGTTGACCAAACGCACGATCACAGATCGTCGAAAGAATCGTACAATATGTCACATGCGAAAGGTATTCAGGATTCATCGGAGGACAAATGTATCATTCAGGATTCGGAATTGCACGATAATATAGACGGGCTTTCGTTATTAGCCAACGTTATCGCGAGTCAGCACGTGTCTCATCTGAAAACCGAACGCGAGTTAAAATACGAACAAATCAAAGTCAAGGATTACGCGTCGTTAAGAAGCTCTCCTTATAATCAAACTACGGATGACGAAGCTGATACCAATGACTCATCGAATACCGTTTCTCAAATTTTGGAGAATCCAACCGCTGAAGTCATCAATAGAATAGTCGGGATTTATCCAGAGGACGCGTTGGACAAAGTAGCGCTTCACGTTGAGGTGACATCGACAACTGATCCCGACGACCGCGAAAACGACACGAGCAATAGCGTTTCGCATATTGTCGAGACTACTATTAATTACGAGACAGACACAATATCCAACAATTTGAGCATGGTGGAAAACAATGTGCAGTCAATAAAGGAGAATACGAACGTTATATTAAACGGCGAAACGGTCGTGCTCTTACAAAAGTCTCCCAATAGTAATTTATACATCATCAATAAAGCGGTGGAAAATGCACGAGATCATAATAGCGACGACGAGGGCTGTCCGATTAAAGAAAAGAGCTGGATGATTCCACCGGAAGATTGCGCCTCGTTTGAAGTTGTTAACACGTCGGAGCATATTTCGTTTAACTTGGATCTGCCGCAATACAACAAGGAATTATCGTGCCAAGAAAATAAATATTCCGTCGTAAGGAACAAGGGTATAAAAATCGAGCCCGAGGAGGAAAGCAGCTTAATGAGCATCACGGAAATGAAATCATACGGTAAGAAGGGTTCGTTGTCGGCTGACGTGTTATCGGCGACATCGCAGATCTATCAGGACACGAACATTGCGAACGTGAGCATCAGCAAGTCGGTCGATAAACGAAAATCCAAGTCCATTCTCACGTACAGGCAGAACATCAAGCAGGAGTTCAGCAATCATATTACGCCGAATTGTGGAATACAAGGGTGCAACGGAATACATTCGCATCCGCACGAAGTGATTGACCCGCAACATTCGTTACATATTCCGGTCACCCATCCGACGACAATACCTTCGATTTACGGGAACTGCGCTGCCGGCACGGATCTGTGTATGCCGTATCATAAGCATTGCACCTCCGTGTCGTGTAGTTTACAGATTAATTCTACTACTTCGCTCCATTCCCACACGAAATCCGCCAATTCATGCGGAAGATCGCACTGCTCATGTCTAAATTGTACGTACGACATAGTCACGCATTGTAGACAGTGTATACACCCTGCCACAGACTCCCACGTGTCTTGCATTGAAAGTAACTCTTATTTTTTGCCCACACATTCATCAGTACAAACATCCGCCGTCCAAGAGCACGATAGGACAAAAAGCGAAGCGGTAATAAGTAAATTGTATGACGATCAAATATTGTGTAAAAGAGTACTACAAAATAATACGTTGGAGAAGCTGGATGTGCCGTGCGAGCCGGACAAGTTATTCAAGAAGGATATGGAGAACAAGTTGCCGCTGAAGAAGAGACTGAAGGCTCACGCCATGATGTCGATGGCATACGAGAAGGTACCCATCAAGACGGAGAAGTTGGATAACTATCCCGGAACTCCCATGATGTCCATAGCAGCCTTAGAAACGATAGACGGCACACAGAAACATCCGACGCAAATCATTAAATCATACGAATTGTCTCCTAACGAAGAGGATAATCCACACGGCAGCTATCACTTCAACTCGAATATAATGCGAAGGGATTACTACAAAGATATGCACATTTCTAATACACGTCATAATCTTACGAAAGAAAGTACAAGAAATCACGAGCGCCAATTTCGACCGAATGGTGATCAGCCTAACGCAGTGTGCCTAGAAAGTTGTCAGGACAGGACACCTGCGCAGCGCAGAGACGTCACGAATCCAACATCTCTGAAACGTATAGCGACGGAGACGATCGAGCAGGATGGCGCGTGTAAAAAGGCGAAAAAAACGCAGTCGTCTATTAGACAAACGAGAAGCTCAAAAAGAAACGTTCCTAAGGTAAATTATTGTTACACCGATGTTGATCCAGAATGGAATCCGTCCGGTGAGTCAAAACGAAGACGTAAGAAGACTAGTCGATGATCAATACTATTTCATTACGAGAAGTCACTGCTGTAAAGAAATGAAGGAGAAAAAGGAAGCAACCTGCATAGAGGACAAATGTGTTCTTCAAGCTGTGGCACTGTAAATTTGTAAATATATGTACAAAGCGGAAGCGAAAATAACTCGTCCTAGGAAGATTTAGAGATAGATCGTTCAGCAGCGTGTTCAAGATTAGCGTCAGCGAAGAGTTACATTAGTTACATGGAAGACTCCTGCATAAAATATTTTTGATGTTTGGTTAGATATCGCTAGAAGCAAGTTGTAGAGAATTTTATTCCGTTAAAACACAGTTTAGATGCGTAAACATCGGCATCTTAGAATTTTATGATATAACTATAATATTAAGATATTAAACGTAAAATATTTATATGTTTTAAAATTTAATTTTTAATTAATTAGCTCTTGACGATATTTTATTTCGTCTGATAATAGTTTACTATTTAACTTTTCTGACATCCATTGGATCAATTATTTTAAATACCTTTATATTGAATAAAATATTTCTTGTTCTTGAATTTCATTCTTCGTTATCTAAAGTAGCACTATTGTATGCTAATAGCTAAAAATTTAGTTTACGCTCTTGTTGCACCACCTATTTTAAAAAAGCAAATGTTAACGTGTAATAATTATTTGTTACGAAATTATGACATTTCTTTACTAAATGTCTTCGAAGTACTAAAGCAAATGATAATGACATTTGCAAGCGCTTTTATTGTTAGTATAATACGAACAAGAAAAACTTTAGCAGTATATTTAATACTGCTATGTTGTTGATTGTGTTTTTCGCGAATTAAATAGCCTTATTTTTGGCTACTGCCATAACTGGATGTGTCTAAACTGTGGTTTAAACATCGTCTCTCTCTCTCTCTACTCCTTGCGATATTGTAAATGATATAAGGCTTTGTAAGATAACATTTAAATTCTAATGTTTTTCTATTGTCATGGTTGCAGCGACGTTTGTCGCAAACTATAATTTTCTTAAGCATGAAATTTTCTTAAATTCTTGTAAAGTAAGATTCAAGTTTCTGTACAGTTTTTTCCGTATAAATATGTATATATATGTATGTACATACATAATTATGCCAAACAGAAACTTATTTGGTGGAAACGTATCTTGAAGTAATATCATTCTTAAGGTAAGGTAATTGTATACAATAGCACATAGTTTAATGAATTGTTTGCTGACATGTGTAAAGAATGTTTAGATAAAATGATATAAAATCAATCATATCAAAGATATTATACATAAATATGTTCGCGTTAATTATTTATCATTATCGTATATTACTTGTTTCTTTGCAGTAATTACAATTGTAGAATAGAAAAGTACTACAGACATTGTTTTGTTTTTAATAATTAAGCTTTTTAGTCGCATCAACCGGCCAGTACAATTTTAATACAGAAAATTTATTGCGAAAAATATCACCTCAGCCAGGGTTTGAATCTGGACTTTCCTACTCTCTAGGCGCCCGCTTAAATAGAACTTGTAACACTCTCTAGGCGGGCGCCTAGAGAGTAGGAAAGTCCAGGTTCACACCCTGGCTGAGGTAATATTCTTCGCAATAAATGTTCTGTATTAAAACACTGGCCTGTTAATGTCAACTAAAAAGCTCGATTATTGTTATTTATTACTGGCAACTTAAAGAGATTTCTATGTTTGTATTTTTATTCTGCATGAAAGATTTATGATAATTACGTATAAATTTTTCTCCAGGTTCCTGAAGAACACAAATTTAGATTCAGGAATGTAATGCGACCAGGTTGACGATTGAAAGTTAAAAGTGTATAAAGTCTAAGAATACAAATTCATTGAACACAAGCAGGATACACGACGTATCAGGAGCATGTTTGCATAGGTAATTCAGCAGCATCATGTCATATTATGTGTATACATGATATAGAATTTTGTATCATAATTATTTGACGAAATTTAAATATTAGATTTTGCAGTTATGTTTACTACATTAATTATTATAACAGCTTTTTCGATTTATAATAATTTTGTAGAGATAAACATACGGGATTACTTATATTTTTACAGAATATGTCTTGTATTTCAGATTAATTACCCGCTTATACTTGAGTAACTTTGGGCAAGTGTTTAATGCGAGCACATAATGTCAATAAATTCGCCAAATGGTGCAAAATTATTTGTATTGCCGTACAATTATAAAAACTGGAAATGTTTAATTTCTTCCACTTTACAATCTGTCCTCTTATTATATATAGAGATGCAGCCCTATATTATATCAAGAAGAAAAGCTATTATTTAATATAAACTTATATACATACAGGTACCTATCAAAATAAGTAGAATAGTTAGTCAGCCGATTCGTACGATAACAAGAAACTTCAGGTCCCGTTAAAAGAAAAGAAGAGATAGTATGCTACGTGATTGAAAGTAATCCATATATTTTTCTTGTAATACAAATGTCCATCTTTCGTTAAAACGCGAGCTGCGCGAGGGCTACACGAGCTACGTATTCTAAAAAATAAAAATGACCTAATCGAGCTTGATAAATAAAATGAAACTGAGGCATGCAAGGAAAAATGCACAATTTAGATATCGATAGTTACCAAGATAGAAAAGCTTTACAACTAGCAAGCATCATATAGCTTGTTCCTATGTAATTGTTTAGTATTTCAGTTCATATGTCTGGAATCTTACTTTAAGAACCGATTAACATTAATATATGGCATTTAATTAAATTATATTAAATTTAACATGAATTTTATAAGGTAAATTTTTAAGAATGATGTAATTTTTTAAATGCTGTATATTACATGGTAAATGGTTCTTATGGGAAAAATTGCTCATGCTCATTCAATTCTATATTTATATCTTATGTTAATGGTGTCAGAGTATCTATTACTATTAAACTGTTTTTTTTTTGTTATAACGTGTATCTGATCTGAACAAATTAAGTCACATTGCAGCCCCTGTGTTAAACCTGAACCAGTCAGCGTCACTATATTCTAATACGAATGTCCTAACTACGTTTAATTATTTCGAGATAGATTTGGTTCCAAGTAATGCATAACTTCAGTGCCATATCCCTATACCTGATCTCACAACTGTGATCATTAGCTAAGCAGTAGCTAAGATTTTGTTGTACAAAAAGGAAATGTACCTTGTTAAGTAGTCTATTCGATAGATTACTTGTCACTGTCACACTTGTCATTGTTGTACATTTATTCGTCTTCGTAAAAATGATTGTAGTTAGAGAATTTGTTTAATTGTAGACTGCTGTACCTCTTACGTTAACTGTTTTTTCTTACTTTTCAACTATTTCAACTAGATTTTAAACTATATTTCCCATACTTGACTGAAAGGCGCGTCTTTTTCATTATCGATAATGATTCTTATTGTTACTATTTATTTATTAATTTACAATGCGATAAGTCTGATAGGCTTAAGTTTAACACAAATAAATTTATAAGTTACTATAGCTATAAATAATTAGTTCATCAAAATTGCCAAAAGTCTTCATACATATGGATCGAATATAAATAGATCATTAATCATAAATAAATTATTGTACGCATAAAGCATTTATTAAGGAAAGTCTGACGTCTAAACATTAATCAAGTTAGTATAGTAAAGTACTTTACATCAGATGCCTCATTAATTCGTGTTCATCAAAAATTCAGTATTGTGTATGCGTAGAACATCTCTTTCGTATAATGATAAATAAACCTGTATTTACCTATATTTGTACATTATGTGCATTACATAAAATGTCGACTGCATAAAATCGAGGTAAATATACTGCACATATGAAAATATTAATATATTTACCTCTCTCTACATTATACTCACTGAAAACTATAGATTCATCGCTATTACCTATGACGTAAGAATAGAAATGTTAGAAAAACTCTAAACAGGGTAAAACATTAATATGCTTTTGATGCTCGCAGCATCGGGTTCATTATATATTTTACATAAGTATGTATACTTATTAACTAAAAATAGAATATAGTACACCTCTGAACAGGGTAAAAGCGAAAACAATACTCGGCAAGCTTATAATGTTTGTTATAGTTTACATAATTACAGGTACTTCCTTTAATTAGGCACTAGTTTTATTTTACAAGTGTATCTAATTATCACAACTTTCCTTTCAATTTTAGTGAAACATTTTTATATTATGCTAACAGCAGCATCGTCCAAGATCTGTAAATATATTTTTAGGCATACGTTGGTCACATCAAATGCGTTTATTACGCCATCATATTGCAATTATTTTTCCATGCAAACAAGATTAATGAGATTTTAGTATCGATTTCCATACACATATATCCTGTGCTAAATAATAAAACAAGTATCTATACGATTAATTAAATATACATAGTGAGAGAAAATGTATTAAATGCTTCTGAAATGGTAGTAGTAATTTAACGATCTTGCATATACGAATACTAAATTCTGCATTCTAACATGAAAAGAGCATATTTCTTTTTACATAGACTACCGAAGTACTTCCGAACTAAATACTGAGTTCTCGAATTGATTTTGTACAATTGCGCGTAATAAATGAATAACTCGAATGTATTAAAAATTGAACTTTTATTCTTTTTTTCAGTCTCTGCATTGTTGTACATCGTGGATTAACTTATCACAATACAATCTTTTTACACATAGAACGCAATTATAATAAAATTGATTAATAATTTATCGTAGATCTACATACATATATATGTACACACATAATTATTGAACTTATACATGAGAATTGTGAACACTGTCGTGTAAAAAATATTAATAATTCATACATAAAGATTTGAATTCGATACTATTAGGAGATGTATTACATGACTCGACAAAGTACTCGACTAAATATCATTATATCTTTATTAATCTAACTGCATACTTAAATATTTTACGCAGTATGAGCGGCAAGCGAGTGAACTTGTTTTAAAACCGTGTGAAAGCATTGTCTAAACATATTCTGCCTTTCATATTGACATTTTACAAAGAAATATAACATAACATAATACAATGTGTATAATTTGATAGATATATAATAAGTTTGTATATTATTTCAAAATTCCTGCGCATACAAACTGCATAACCAGGTCTAACTTCTTTTAACAAATTTGATAGAAGTTCCTTACACAGTACACATACAGTATTTATTACATAAATATTTTGTATATAATAAGGATGACGAAAAAAAGATACAGCTGTGTTCTTAGGCCTAGAGGATGAAGTTGTAAATAAATAACATTTTACTATAAAGTTTGCAGAAGAGGATTAGAATTACGTTTTAAACCGCTGACATGTACATTCAACAAAAACATGTACAATATAATGCAATAAAGGAAACAGTTTTAAAGCTTCCATTGCACTATTCCCAGAAAATAAATCTTCACCAAATGGGATAATATCATTGATTCTATGACGCAGTGTTATTGCTTGTGTAAGAGTTGATATTTATTTGTTATTTATGTGTAACGATTATTTGATGATATACTGAAATGTACTATATTGAAATATATATTCGAATGCAGTTTTTTAAATATACGTTCATCAGGGCACTGTATTCATTTAGGATAAAACTAGTACGAACATCTTCCTCTTTTCAGATAAACTTTATTCTAGAGAATAGATTTCATTTTTTTACTATCTACTGGCTGTAAACTTTGAATTATGCAATCTTTTAAATTAAATTTTATATATATACATTTTTTTTTTAGAATATAGTGTGATCCATTCAGTTTGGAGTGAGGTTCTCTATAATAAATATAAAATATCCGAGATGTACAACGGAATAGTCATAAATTTCCACGCACTCTATTTACGTAGAGTGTGGAACGTGTGCTCGAATTTATGGTCATTTTGTGTACATGCTCTTATAGTATGCAACTTTGGAGATATAAAATATTTTGTTCTGCAACTTATACACATGCAATTTAAAATAGCTATCATCTATTTTGCCAACATTTACACACGGTTACGTTTTATTGTTTCTATCTCACTAGAAGTACGAAATCTTAAAAGAACTTGTACTCAATGCATTTGAATCATTCAGGAAATTTAATATTAGAAATAAATTATCTTCATAGCAGTAGTATATGGCAAGCATTGACCCTGTGACGTTTACTTTGTAAAATTTACGGTTTAAAAATAAAGTATGTGAGGAAAATAGGAATGTAATTTCTTCTTAAAGACTCGTTACTAAGCATCTTATCATGTGATGTCAGATGCGAGGCAATATATCAATTTTGTACGACTCGCAATAATAAATAACTTTCATCTATCAAATTGTTTCAGTGAGACAAAGCAAATTTCGAAACTGCAATTCTGCATAGTTCCTTAAGCTCAAGGCAGTATATTTATAACGCATTTCCTAAACTTGCTTTATCGCATCTATTCACGCAAAATCATTTTTGCAGACTTAAATAATTGTTTTTCTGACACCGTAATCTATGATAGCATCGTTAAACTTTAAAACACTTTCTTCGATACTAATAGCTGTAATAGTACGCCCCTCTACCAAGATTTTTACCTACTTATAAAAAATATAAGGTACCATAAAATCAGTCTCTCTACATCAGATATCGACAGAGAAATATATAACAGATTAAACATCGCAATACTAAACATCATAGGATTTTTCTTTCTATAAAAGGACTCGTCAACTTCATCGACTAGATAAATAAATTCTCAACTTCATCTAATAATTATGCACAAAACAATATTTAGAAGGTTGTTTCTCTAAATACATCTCGAGTTACTTGATTAAAATAATGGCTAAATCAAAAAACTTTATAAAAAAATAACGATTTGGTTTAGATTTTTATACGTCAGAGAAAAGTGCAGTAAAAAATAAATTACATAAGAGAGTAAATGTCTTTTTATTGCCATGTAGCAATAAACGCGCACAATAAAATATTTAGCAATCCAGTTTCATCTACTGTCATATATTATTTCACTAAGATTAAAGTAAGCTATAAAAAAACAAGAAAGAGTATACACTAGTTATACATATGAAAATTACACTTCTAGTTGTGTTTGTGGCTCTGTGAATTTTCTGTGGATTATATTCAGTACTGGTATATTCAGAGAGTACTAGTTCTAATAATATAACCATCATTCATCGTTTCCGCCTTATTTAAAATTTCGGGTAAAATATCTTGTATTTTCTTTAAATATAATAATTCGTGTAATAAAATTCTTTACTAGTTATTCCTATTAAATCTACTTCTGCAATAACTTCAGAAATATACCTCAGAAATTTAACTTTTACCAGGGTAGATGAGATTACTACTAATTAGTTCCTCTTTCTCTTTTCAACACGTACTTTGCATTATTCATATATTTACTTAATATTTAAATGCAACTATAAAGTAATTTACGTGCATAATATGTATATATACATATTATGCCAATACATATATATATACATAAAATACATATTTCTAAAAAAAGTCTATGGGAAGTGCTTCTTGACCATATGATACGATAATCTATAATCGTACTGAAGCATAACTTAAAACAGCTGTCTCTATACAGACTTCTAATCTCATAGATTATGTCCGAATAACTGTACGAATTACATCACGTTGTGTTTCAACAACTCGGAAGCTTTTAATATGATAATAATTTTCGTATGTCCAATTTTTATTTCAATCGTCAAGATACGAGACTCAGCGCATTATGCAAGCAGTTAAAAATTGGCGACTTCTTCAGGATCATAAACGACAATCAATCACGCTGTAATAAACAAATGCAAACGGTAAACATAATTTCTTTATTACGTTTAAGCTTTTGTGATCCAATACTACTATTTAACAATTTATATCAAATATTCTAATCCAACAAGATGTAAAGAAAATGACATTATAAGTAGATTTATTAATACGTTAATACCTATCCGTATTTAATTATTATTTAAATAAAACAAAATATATATAATTTTTTAATGCCTTCTCTCGTGTAATCATCATACATGAGAATAATTTGAATAATTTTATGAACGTTAATTTATTAGAATATTTATATTCTAGGAAAATCGGATCACAAAAAGCTAGAATATATTCGAGATATCATTGCAAAACTCATTATCTCTAATGCAAGATTATCCAAAACAATATATTGGCACAATTTACATAATCATGAAACTAATAACGAATCAAAGTATTCAATATTTTCTATTTATAAAATAAGTATTACAAATTTATTATTTAAAAATTGATATTTTCCAATTGTTTGTTTCATAGATTTCTCTGTGTCCGTTGCGTTACGAAAAATATTCTCGTAAATCTAAACCATTTATTTCCACGATTACAGCAGAAGCTGATAAATGCGTATTTCATTTTGTCTTTTTTTCTTAAGAAATTAATTATAATGGAAAGAGCAGAGTTTTGAAATGAGAGGTTTTGCAAATAAGAAATTTTTTGCATAAATGTATGTTATACTCACCCACTGTATTATTTTTCATGTTCTTCTGCATATATAAGCTCTGAAAATAAAGTAAAAAATCATTAAGTGTGAGTATTATGATGGTTGAATAATAAAGCACGCTAACTAGTTATTATCATGCCAATAAAGAGTTACTTTCTTACACAATTTCTAATTATCTTCAACTAGATGATTTAGATATTGTAATTGTTCCAATAATTTCACGAAAAATGATTTAAACATTATATGCAAATATGATAGTTTAAATATTACAAAATAGTTCTATGCACACAATTAAATATTGCTTTCTGTACAAAGTACTATTCTTGATATTGAATTTTCTTATGCTTTATGTATAAAATTTAATTTGTTCAAATTAATATATGATAAAGTTGGATAATGTAAAATAAATTAACATTGAAAGGAGCTAACGAACGAGACATTGGTGTCCGTGTTAAAAAATATTTCTATTTATATAATAATACAAACGTTTCGACCTATAATCAGGTCATCTGTTATATGACACACTGCAAAAGCATTGTTATGTACATGTTAACGTTTAATATTAAAAAAATTCTATAATACACTGAAGATGACCTGAGTATAGGTCGAAACGTTTGTATTATTCTTATAAATAGAAATATTTTTTAACGCACCCACCCGTGTCTGGTTCGTTAGCTCCTTTGAACGTTAATTTAATTTGTTCATTATTTGTCTTTTAAATTTAAAGTATATTTCGATATAGAAAGTGACAGGAAGATAATCTTCAGAGATGTGTTGTTTGTTACATCTTGTTGCTCTTGCGTGATGTTTTAAAAATGTAATACACAACAAATATAATAAATAACAATCAAATAATATGATATAAAAATAAATTTAAATATTGAGTTACCTTTTATTTTGTAGCAACTGAGACTCCTTTTTCGAACACTGTATTGATCCAGAATAGATAATTTTGTTAGCGTTTGGAGGGAGTAAAACTATAGATACGATTCTTTTTTATCTTCTCAGATGTTTCTTCAGTGGATGGTAATTTGATACATCTGACAGTCTACTTCTTAATGATATTTGCCTTATGGTCTATGGTCTCGGTTATAATTATTGTGATTTAATCTTAAATTGCTATTAAGATTCATTCAAAATAAAATTATGTCTTATACCGTTGTATAAGATCAAGCAGAATATTCCTTTTACGATATTAAGCGATTTCCTGACGGCAGATAGTGGATATATCCAGTATATATTCCTTAAAAATTCCTTAAAAACTTGATGTAGCTCTCTTGAGGCTGGAAATTTTTCAATATGAACTTTTTCGTAAATATGAGAACACTTCTCGTTATTGTTACTGTCGTTTCTTTCTTTGTAATTTCTTCGGTAAATAATCTGTTACATTCGATAACTTGCGACATAGTGGCATTCACAAACGTACGATCCATATTTCAAATCAATTATCATATTTGAAACTGAATTGAAAGATGACCCAAATCATCCAAGGACGAAAGTATACATTTTACGCAATATGTTGAGGCAGAATCTTTTCTTTGCGATATCAAGTAATTTGTTAGCAATTTTGATGAAATTTTTTCAGATGTATCCTCCAGGATATGAAAGCCTTCAACATCTTGTTTGTTGCAAACATAAAAACATTTAAGGCATCGTTATTTAACTTATCAGGAAGAGTACCGAAATTCCATGGCTCCTTGAAACCTGGAAGAGCGATAGTTGAATTAGTTAACAAAGATATTTGGCATTGTGGTGAAATTTACTACGATTTACTGACATGGGTTTATCAGACTTTGTTGTTAAGTGAGAGGCTACCAGATCTATACTACTATCAATAGTATCATTTTGATTATTGCACAGGACGATTTTTTCGTTCAAAGATGTATCCGTATATACATTGTCAAATTCAAACAGAGGTAGGATGAAATTATTCGTATCATTCGATAATATATCTTCCAAAGCTCCCGTTTGGATATTATCTTTGATATTTTCAAAGTCAATTGTACAATCAGTTTTAATACAATCAATTATTTCACTAGGTTCTTTTGAATTCCTCTCGGAAAAGTCGATTTCAGATGTATAATCTGTACAAAGCTCAGAGGAATGTAACTGTTTGTTTGACATTGAAGTATCGCAATTGCTTCTGCCTTTTTGTTCCTTCATCGTATCTTCGGAATACTTGGGAACGGCTTCGTAATCACACTTTCTTCTATTATCAGAATTGACATGCTGACTGTCCAACGGTAATTTTACAATTTGATCTCCGGTAAATGTGGTTGAGACAGTACACGTGTTATTAGAAGTATTTAGATACTGCATTCTCTTTTCAGCGCTTGTAGTCGTAACGTGTTCGCCAGTATGATTTGTAACATAAATGTATTTATCGTGATCGCTTAACATATAGATTATATTTGTGTCGTAAGGTATCTTGACATCATTTTCATCGGCATTAAACATATTGTGCAAATTGTCTTGTGTCTTCACTGCAGTAACATCATTGTCAGTATACATAAGTTTTTTGGTTGGTACGCCGATTAAATTGTCGTAATTGATTTGGGACTGTTCGGAAGATTCCCGGAAGAAATCCTCCAGAAAAGTTTCACTCTGGGTATTATGTGAGAAATTGATGTGCTCCACATCGTCTACGTAATCAGTCTTTGCTGTCTCGTCAGTTGCCTCTATTTTTAGGAAACTTTTCAAATCGTAATCTACCTCCGCACTTGAACCACTATCGAAGGAATTAATATCAAATGTACAGAATTTCGAGGAAGGTAATATATCGTTTAATATAGAAGAATCGCAATCGGTTCTTTTCTGTGGTTCCTTTATCGTAGTCTTGGAGTATTTAGCGGCACTGTCGTAATCATTCATTCTTACGTTATCAAAATTGACATGTTGATTATACAATGGTGGCTCTGCAGTTTGATCTTCGGTAAACGTGGTTGAAACAGTACACGTGTCATTGGACTTATCTAGACACTGCATTCTCTTTTCAGTGCGCACAGTTGTGATATCGTTATGATTCAAAACATAAATACGTTTATTGCGATCGCTTAGTGTGTCAATTATATTTGTGTCACAAGCCAATTTAATGTCAGTCCCATTATCGTTAAATGTATTATGCAAAGTCCCTTGTGCTTTTGTCGCGGTAATGTCATTGTTAGTAAGTATAAATGGTTTACAATCGATTTCCGTAATTTGTGAGCTATGATTATCTATAGACGTAAATTCCTTTATAAGGTGGTTAATATCATGCGCATAAACAGGCATTGTAATCCAATACTTGTGCGACTTCTGCGTCGCGCTATAATTCGTGCTTGTTGGTAATTCTTGCTTGAAAGAATGCTGATCTGCAATATTGTTTTGGCACGTCTTGAATAAAGATATTGTCTCCGTGGCACTTTCTTCCTGAGCAGTTAATGCTTCCTTATTTTGTGTTACCGAGTTGTTATAAGAACTAGTTGCATTTCCTATTGTCACATACGATGATATACAATTTTCTAATTTACTTTCTTTCAACACATTTGCCGTAACTTTGAACTTTTTAGTATCGTGCTCGACAAACATTGGCGACTTCAAGCAATGCGAGTTGTAATCGTGCTGTTTCTCATCTTCCTTCGCAAATTCCAGACAGGTATTATTCATCTGATTTTTCGTTATGTTCGGATGCTTATCTTTTTGAAGATTAATGTAACAGACATCATTTAACGAAGATCTGGTGTTAACTGAAGTACAATTCTCTGTACTATCACTAATTTTACTGTCATAAATAGGTTTACACTCCAAACGAATTTTTTCTCCTAAGCTCTTTAAGTTTTCATTAGATTCTTTAACGTCGGCACTCACGAGCTTGCCTGAATATTTGATATGCTTTTGACTTTTCATGATCTTTTTCATGAATCTCAAACATTCCGAATTTCGTTGAGTCTTTTTCCTTTTTCCTTTGCAAGGAATGCTAATTTCATCGTCTCCAGTTAAATCAATTATTACAGGTTTCCTTGGTTTTTTCCTTATCTTTTTCAATGGCTTAAGGCTTTTTGATCCCTTTTTTTGTAGATAAGTTTGATCCAAAGACTTATCTTCATTATTTGGCAGCGTATTATTGTTTCGAAAACCACCTAAACATTTTTTTACTTTTTGCTCAGATGTATCCCCTTTAGAGTTGCTCCGCTGAAATAACGAATTCGTCTGGTGTTTCTGAAAAAGCAGTAGTCCGAATGTCAAAATCTACATTATACTTGTTAATAAATGCAAATACTTTGTGCATAATTTGGACAAAGCGCTACTAATAAAGAAATTTAAGTAAATCCTTAGAAGATATATTACCTGCGACTTTGAACAGTTCTGATCGGCAGACATTGTCTTGGTACATTGTAAACCTGTAGAGTTATCCATCTTGTCTTGAAATAGCAGGAATTGTTTACGGACTAGCTCTATATCAAATCGATTTGATTGTATTAACCATAGTGTTTCATTCTCTTGACCCATAGGTGGTCTAGGCACAAATTTCAATAATTCGTCTTGTAATTCCGGCATACGCGACCCTAGTAGCATCAGAGCTAACTCGTTAATTCTCTCTTTTTTGTCAGAAAGAATTTTCTTCTCCTTGAGAGTTAAATTCATCTCTGTTGTCTCTTCCATTTTTATCCACATTTTGAAGGCGAGTAAATATCTGATATAAGCTACATCGGTTATAGAAGTCGTCTTTGTTTTGAGATTAGTAAAGCTCTTCCTGTGTAGAGTGAAAATAACATGCTGTATTAACTCATTATCTATGAGACATTGATCAATTTACTAGAATGGGTTTCCAAAAATATTTACGTACGTAAATATATGATTGCAGACTTTTGTATATTTTTCTGTTGTGTGTTTAATTCTAAGTAATACCCTGAAAATATGCTCTTCCGAGTTATCTGTAAACAGTTGAACAACATTAGCTATCGGCATGGCCAGCTCGTATTAAATCAGTCAATTTTCGTTAACACTCACTTAAGTATATGTACAATGCTGCAAGAACCTTTGCAGCAATTTTAGAAGAATCTCTAACGTGACTAGAAGTTCTTTCTTCCATTGAAGTTTTCAACTCTAGGTCTATGTACACATTTAACAAAGCTGATATTTTATTTAAATATTGACTATGATCAGCCGTGTCCTGAGAGAAAAAAGGAGAGAGAAAAAAAGAAGAGACGAAAGATTAACGATTACATTCATATACTCGAGTCTGTAAGATGAGATAAAAAGATAACTGGGATTCATAATACCTGTTTTATGTCAAGCCAATAAAAGTGAAAGAATATCAACATTTTATTAATATGGTTTTTTAAATTAATCTCGTCGCTAAATTTGACACTGCTCTTTGCTAGGCTAGAAAGGACATTCCTGAAATATGCCAAGTACACATCTTTCATATACCTCTTCCAACTGCCGACATGCGAAATCACTACTTGCAAAAGATTTAGCAATCGAACGTCGAATCGGATCTTCAGAATTGATGTGAAATAATCTTACTGGGTGTAGAGCGAAAGCAATCGTTCGAGGTGTTGATAGTTTCTACTTCCTGCGCATGAACATATGGCTTTATTGAATTTTGGTAACCATGGGAAAACTTCGATCCTGTTGCTATCTTCCAGTCTGATATCTTCCAGTTGTTGGTTCTTTGAACATGCCTTTGTATTTTTACTTCTTTCCCGCCTAGAATTTGTATCCATAACGGTATCTTCCTCTGTAGCTCTGTAGCTTACGGCATAAATTCTCTGCAATTATAGGAACACTTGTAGCGTACACGACGCAATAATCAATTGTAATGCTTTGTTTAACGAAGTGTCTTGTATCGAAGTTTGTACGGAGAGATGCGATTACTGCCACCACTACAATTACTATAATAGTTACAAGTGTGTGCGATAAAAAAAAGGTAACGATATAAAAGAAATTTACTCAACTGTCAAACTTAAAAAGTTGTGTTACCTTAGTATAATTGTTTCTACATGTTCAATACTTATAACGCATGTAAACGAGTTTCGTTACGCAATATTAACGTCGTGGAAAATAATCTGCGAGCCGCACAGATTCGGGATGGCAGAGCGGCGATTATATGTCACATGAATTGGCGCTATATATACAGTAATTGATGGAAGAGCTAAATTATTAGAACTGGAGCAGTAAATGATAGAGCTATATATATACATCTCTCTCTCTCTCCGAGGAAGATACGGAAGAGAGAGACTGTCAACATTTCTCCGGCACCGGATGTGACAGGCGCGTGCACTGATAATTGGCACGCGGCGAGAGATGAAGGGGAAGCGATCGCAAAGCCGCCCGCGCGAGAGCGGGGGAGAGACCCTGGTCTTACAGTGTTTATCCCGGACTTGCGACGTGACGACGACCCGCCGTGTCCTCTTCGCGTGTCGCGGCCTGTCAATGTGGACATCGACCTATAGCATGGACCGCGCGAGGCCTACTTTACGGTACGAGACAAGGTCCTCGGAATCGAGGATAGCAAGTGGCCGCGGACTACCTCGGCCCCTATCGGACAGCCGATTAACAAAGGACAGATACTGGCCGCGCGCGCCCGCCGTCGTTCTTTTACGTTGAGACACACTTTCGACGTGCGCCGCGCAGTCCATGCTACAGGATGATGAACGTGGAGGCCCCTCTTCCCGGTTGAGCGAGTTCTCTTCCCTGCCGAGTGCCTCTTCCGGGTCGCGTCCGGATCGCGGCGGAGCGGACACTCCCCCTCCCCCGTGTCGCAGCTAAATCGCTCCGCCGAGGGGCTGCGGCATCTTCGAGGCTCGCGGACCGTTGAACGCGCAGGACGGGACGCGCTCGTGCTCGCTCGTTAATCGCTGCCGACGGCGATGACACGCTTCGCTCGCTCGCTCGCTCGCTCGTTCGTTCGTTGCGCTGCGCCGCGTCGCGCTGCGTCGCGTCGCGTCGCTCGGCCGCCTGCGTCAAAACGCGCCGCCTACCGACCGACGCTCGCGGCTCGCGCGCAGCCCGAGGCTCGCCGCTCGCGCAGCTGCGCCGACGCCGGAGCTCGACGCCTCGCGTCGCGCCTGCTGCGACGCCGCGCCGTGCGCCCAAGCTGCGCGCGCACCGCTCGCCGCCGTGTCGCGATCGTCGCATCAGGTGCGTGCCGATCTTCGCGACGACTCGCCGATACTCGTGCGAAATTTAATTCCGTCCAGGAGACGCGCTCTCTCCCCATAACGACGTTCGCGGAAAATTGACGGGCCGGCGCGAATTCAGCTACGCAAAATCCCCGGAGTAAGTTTCCCACGCGCGGGGAGAACATGGACACGTGGAAGTTCGCGGCCGACGGGAATTTTCGCGTTCGCCGCTGCACGTAGTACCCTCGGGGGAGCGGAGGGGGAACCTATGCTCGCGCGTCCACGAGTCGGCGTTCGCGAAAACGATTGGCGCGGCGACGCGCGACGCACGCGTACGTAGACGCGTACGCGTGTGCATTCGCGGGGATTAAACGGCGGTGTCCGCCGCGCGCGCGCGCGCGCGCCCCCGTGCCCCACGTCCCTGGACGTGAGCGCAGCTGCCCCGGCAGCGGGGCGCGCGCACGCCGTCGCACGAGCGCGTCGCCCGAGTCGTCCGGCAGCGGCCGAGCACGTATGTGACATGGCGTCCGGGTAGAAAGAAAGTTAACTGCTAAATAAGCGTTAATGTTGTTTTTATGACACTGACCGACCGAAAAGGGAACATCCGAGGCCGCGAATTTCCCACAGACACTGGCATTGATGGTAATGCATACGAGGAAACAAAGGATCAGCGATGGGTAGGGCTCTACCGTCAAATACCCGATACTGACACGACCAATATATCTCTCTCTCTCTCTCTCTCTCTCGCTCTTGGCCTCGCTCTCCGTCTCCCTCTCGCTACCCGTTTCTCTTACTCTCGCTCTCCCCCTCTCGCTTGCTCGCTCTCGCCCTCTTTCTCTCTGCACCAGCTCGCCTCACCTCTCGTCACCCGACATCCGTCCATTCGCCCGTACGACCCGCTCGACCGTACACACGCATCGCAGCACTCACTGCCACGAATCCGCGCCGCACGACGTCCCGCGGCACGAGCAGTTTCCACGATGGGAATCCGCTCGGGCGCCGTTCCCCGTGGAAACGACCGCGACGGCGGCGGCGGCGGCGGCGGCGGCGGGCACCGCGCCACGACCTCCCTCGCTCACGGCCCGTTGTCTTATGGTTCCAGGTACTTCGAAAAGCAGCCTGCCCATCCCTATCAGGTAAATATCAGCCACCACCGAGGCGATTGGTGGATCTAGGATACGGCGAGGGGAGGGGGAGGGGGAGGGCTGTGCGTGTGTGATAGTTTTCTCGCACGGCGGGCCAGCCTCACGTCGTCTGGTTCGCCATCGCCATCGGCCTCGTCGTCGTCGTCGTCGTCATCTAGCAGCACGGCCAGTAGTCTCGCCCGCGGTTCCGCGTCGTTGCCCGCGCGACACGTCCGAGGACGGGGGAAGGAAGACGGGGAGAGAGAGATGAGATCGCTCCGGTTCTCGCGCGCTGGACACGGCGCCCAGCCGCGGTGACAGCACCCGTCCGCGCGGACGAGCCCCAAAGTTCGTATTCGGCACCGCGGCGGGGAGGATCCAGGACCGCGGGGATCGCTCGCGGCCCGCCGCCGGGAATCGATAATCCACGACGTCCGGACGGTCGCGTACGTTCGCGCCCGCCCGCCCGCCTGGGCCTCATCTCGTCTCGTCTCGTCTCGCGTCGCGCGTCGTTTCCGCGAGGTCGTCTTTGTCGTCGCCGCCGCCGCGATCCCTCGGGCTCCGATCTTTTTTTTTTCTTCTTTTTTTGTCCCCCCTCGCGGTCGGCGCTCGGCGAGGCGGACGCGATCGTTCACCAGGTTCGCGCGGCGCCCCCGCGTCGTCGTCGTCGTCGGGCGATCGCGATTGGCTTAATCGTCGGTAATTCGCTGCATTACGCGCAAGACTTGGCCCGCGAGCACGGCCGAGCCCGACGGGCGAGAGGAATCTCGGCTTGGACGAGTGACATTTCGATCAATGACGATACTTCGCCTGCTCCTTCCGCCAGACGCGTCACCGCGATGCGAATAATCGAGGTACCTTGCGGACACGTTTACGCCGTAATTGGCTCGCGGGAGAGTCGTCCCGCTCTCGCTCCTCATTGATCGACCGCGCGACGTTCGGCCTCTCCCGGGGGCTGGGGTGGTGGTGAGCGGGCCAAATGTACGCGCTCGCCGTACCCGGAGCGGACCGCGCGAGACGAGCGGGGATTCAGTCGCGGTGCCGTCCGATTTTCACGCCCGACGCGAAATCACTTCCTGCCAGGTCTTGTAAACATAACCTCACTTCTCGGAAAATCAATAATTTATTCTAGCGGGTGATACGCGAGAGATATTCGGGGCCCCACGTCGGCGGGGCACCCGCTCCGGACCCTCGCGCGCCTCGACGGCCCCCGCCCGGTCGCCGCGTCCCGTATTCCGCCGGAAATGACCGCGAGCGCGACGATCCGGCAGCTTAACGGGCTCCTTTGTGCACGGGCGAGATTTGGGCCAACACGTCCGTCTTCGCGGCACGCCGTCGAGGAGTATTCGCGTTGCCGAGTGTCCACCGGCGCGAGGAGTGCTCGGACGCGCGACGGGAGTCTGTCTTTAGAAACGGGTGGAATTGCTGTTGCGGTAAGAGCGATTGGGCGCCCGCGAGGGATGAGAGATTTTGCAGAATTTGCACAGTCACTTTTACCGCAACGCCGTCGAATGTCCGACCGCTCCGTCGAATTCCCCTCGACGTCGCTGGGGCCCAAGTCGGTGCGGCTCTCGCGCGCACGTTCTCGCAGACTGCCACTAGATCGAGAGACGGCCAGTCGTTGTCGAGCCTCCGTTAACATTTAATATACATTTTGAATAACGAACTTGTATGTTGAGAATGAGAAAAGTAAGCGAACAACACCTCGGCATGTCTGTTTTGTCTGTATTACATTATGTGCAACCCCACATGTGTGGTCTGATTGTAGAACGCAAAGTACAGCAGTTCTAAGGGTGGCTATTCCTCCTCGACCACGTCATCGGACAGTCGCTACGAGGGACGTATGCGCGACTCTCCAAATGGTAACTCTTACAGTCCAGCCGGCAGCTTGGGAATGGGCATGGGGACGGACCGGGACAGCCCTCGGAATTACACATCCAAGCCTCTTTACAAGAAGGAGAGAGAAAATAGAGACTATAAACTATCCTCCTCTAGGGACAAGTATTCCGGTAAATAGCTCTTGTTTGTCGCCTCCCCCCGACATTCTGCGTAGAGAGAAAGAGAGAGAGAGAGCTTTTACATATCTACGATTGCCCGACAGAAGAACACGTCCACGTAATATCATTGAGTCTAAATTCGTAAATTGTAGCGTGTTGATTGTAACGCACAGCCGATGGTAGCTGCAAAGTAACGAGATTCTCCTTTGATTTATGTAGAATCTCGTCTCGCTCTCCTCTCTTCTCTTCGGTATAAAAACAGAATTGTCTCTTAACATTCTCGGCTGTAACACGCTTGCTTGCGTATGTGTAGATTGTGCACGATCCCTAAAAGACAAGAGAAGCCGCGAGAGCAGGGATTCAGAACACAGGACCAACCACGATAGGAGTAGTGGGGAGGTGAGTATCTGCCCAGCATTAATATCTCATTTAATGACTGACGAATGTAATTTTGTTAACTATACGTGCTTCAATCTTTCAGAGAGTTCAAAACGTTTATTACCGTGTATATGACGAATCTTTACTTATCAAGTGTAAATTTGCTTTTATTTACTACCTCGTTTACTACATATATATTGTGTGCATGAAATCATAAATGTTATTATTATTATTATTTATATTGTTTTCAATTTGGATTATAAAAGATGTTAAACCAGAAAGAGCAGAGTAACTTGCAAACTTTTTAGGAAAGATTTTGAATATACGTGACATATAAATTGCAAGTGTCGTACAAAAATAGATATCTATTTAGGCATGTGCAGTCGTATCATAAGTCTGGTTTTATTAAAAACAAATTCCAACGTGCAAATGTAAATGTGTGTGGGCTGTCAGATAATTTGCATATGGTCACAGTCCGATGAATTTACAAACTTACTGAACATTGCTAAAAGAGAAGCATTTGATATGCATCATTGCGTGCCTTCTTTAGATCGAATATACTTTTTTTTGGATGCATGCACCATAATAATAATAATAATAACATTTGTTCACATCTATAGATCTTACATCCCTTAAAATTATCATCAAATTCATCAAGAGAATCTTCATCCCAGAGAAAACCATCACACAATTCCTGTCAGGTCAGTGTAATATAACTACATTCCTTTATCAGCTGGCATCAGCTGATATCAGCTGGAAATTCAAAATTCTAAGTAAAGGATAAAATGATGCCATTCAATCATTACTCATTCATTCAAGTATATTAACACATTTGTAAACTTCAATTAATTAAAATGTTATACGCTAACATCCTGTTTCTATACATTTCTACTTATAATCGTAATCTGACTAACTCCACATGTATGTAACTCAATATCTTAATAGCCTCAAGAATACGGACGAATATAACTTCAACTTTTCGAACAAGTTTTGGAATCAATTCAAATACTTCCCATCTATTCAATCGTTTCCGGAAATTTTAGAACAGTCTGTTTAGGATAAACGTGGTGATGAGCGAGGAGGTGCAACGGAACGGACAGCCAGATTTGGCGATTGGTCAGAACATATGAGTTCGTCGGGAAAGAAGTATTACTACAACTGCAAGACGGAGGTTTCTCAATGGGAAAAACCACGGGAGTGGATTAGTCGAACAGATAATCGTCAACGCCAATCTAGTGACTATTCCTCTAGGTCAAGTACGTCTAAATTTTCATAATTTATTAAATACGAGGTATAAAATGTTAGGTATGATGAGTGCCAAAGAACAGCCAAGTAAATGGGTTCTCGTCAAGGTAAAAGTATGACCATTAACAAAATTTGGCTTTTCTGTGATTTCATATTTATAATTTAGATATTTATAGTTGCAAAAATGCGTTACAGGAAAGTTTCTATGAATAACTTACGAATGAAATAAGTATTTGTTTAATTTTTCTTATCGTACTTTCTTCAAACTGGATACATCCTGTAGTTCATCTTGTATTTATTAATTAGAATACTTTTTGCCTTGTGTGAAATGTACAAGACTACCAAACCTGAAATTTTTCTGGGCAGGTCATGATAAACATTCCAACTCGCGATCAAATAGCAGTAGCAGTATGCGAGATGGTAAATCGTCGCGACAGTCTGACAAAAGAGAATACTGGAGTTTATGTAGCGCGAGCGGCGGTGGCAGTAGCAGAGATGATGTTTCCGCGAGAGAGAGGGAGCGGGAAAAGGAACGGGAAAGAGAACGAGAACGGGAACGAGAACGTGAACGAGAGAGAGAACGAGAGAGAGAATCTAGAGAATGTAGAGAAGAAGTTAGTGTAGAACGTCAAACTCAAGATATGGATATCTCGCCAGGCGATTCTACACCAACTTCGGAACCTCTGACATCGTCTTGCGCTCACGATCCACTGCCACAAGGCCCCGTTCTCCTGGCCGCTGGTACGGTTTTCTTTTGCTCGTTGTACGCAAGATCAAGTATACAGAGAGTGTAACATTGATTTCCTGTAGAAAAGAAAAGTTTCAAGTAAAAACTATAAGATTTAGATTTTTTTTCATGACAATGTGTTATGATAATTTTATCGTACACGAAACATTTCGTTTTTGAAAAATTGTAACGATTATTGTCTTTGTGAACTTTATTTTTTTTACAATGAAATTTATAAAGCTTGATTTCATTTGATTTTAATATTAACTTGTTACATTTGTACATGCTTCAACCGTTGTAAATTTCCGATATCTTTATGTCCTCGTTAGCGTTACCTCGGTTAACATCACATCCATCGTCAACGACACCGCAGGCAACTGGAAAACTTAGTTCGCCTACGCAACAACAGGGAAGCAGTAACGCTCCGGGACCACCGGTGTCACTGGCAAATCTCCCAAGACTACTACTATCACAAATTACGGGCAACAAAGAACCAGACATCACACCACAGAAGGCATTACAGACGATTCAAACAGCTATCTTGCTATCCCGACAAGTAAGGGAATATTTGAACCACTTGAATTTTGTCGAGATGAATAACACTTCATCTGTCATGATTGGCAATTTGTGCAAGACATGATAGGAAAAAGTATTTTCTTTTTCTTAATTTTTCCCTATTCTTCATATTCTTGTACAGAAATATCTTCAATTATCACTGTATGTCTTTCTAATTTGTTAGCTTATTACAAACGTGAAGTTTGTTTTCCTTCAAACACACAAACAAAAATTTTGGGACAAGCTATTATCTTTCAGAGATGTTTTTAATTTTTCTAAAATGTTTAGAGATATATAATTAAATGAGTAATATTTCTTTTAAAATAAAAATCAATTAGAATAATGCAAAACGTAAGATTTTATTATCAATTTATCAAGTTAAATTATTACTTGTCTATATTGTTGGATTTATCATGAGAATTTCATAATTATTCAATCATTAACATATTTAAGAATCTTGTAATAATTTCTGAATAAATACCTATTATAGCTTTAGCCTTTTAAGTACATACATTTGTTATTACAGAGTGGTGTGATTCAATTACTTTTACATATTTATTGTCTTTGCTCTTTCTGTATTAAAAACATTGGAAATAATACTCATACTGTTATATGCTTGTCTTTCATTGTAGCAGTCTGTTAGTGGGGATCGAACCAATACTGGCAGTGATGTGATGGTTCCATTAAAAGTTGATACAAGTGGCAATATTACCAGCGAGGGTCCACCGACTCCGACACATTCGGAAACCCAGGATTGTATTGACGCTCGAAAATGTAAGTCTGCCATTTATTGTTGTATAAAAACCTTGAGAATGCTTATTTTACAAATAAGTAACTGTTTGCTTTTATGTCTAATGCATTCTTTTACAATATATAAATTATTTGCCATTACATAGCTTATTGAATTCAAATAAATGCTTACATTCTTACGTCAGCTATAACACATTTAGTTTCCATTTAATCTGTAATACTAAGATTGAATTTAAAAACAGTTGCTTGGTAAAATAAAATTCTGATCTTTTAATCAACTTTAGCACCAGATAAAATTGGCCATCGTTATTGTAAACGTATTAAAATGATGAAAAAAAAATTTTGTTAGTATATAATTAAAATGTAATATAAGAAGCAAACTAATATGTTGATAAAAAATTAGCGTAGTTCCTGAAACGATATGTCGAAATAAATTATTATTTGAGATCATTGAAATATCTTTTATCTTCGTTTGCATGATTTTAAAAGATTTTATTTTATTATTTCATTATATGTAAATATATCGTGTCTTCATTTTAATAGTGACAAGTCCTGGGGGAACGAATTCTGGAGTACAAGGTCTGAGCTCCTTGCAAAGTCTCAGTACATTAGGTTCCCTTGGAAATTTGAGTAATACAGGAGGTTTACAAGCATTATCAAGAGTACAGCCTCCTTTAACACCTTCTTTAACACCATCTCTCGCTAATCATTATCGGGAAGACTTGACGCAGCATGTGCGTGCTTTTCCCGCTGATATTCTCGAAAAACAGGTGAAAATTCTTTCTATTTCATAAATATAATGCGTCCCTGCTGCGTAAGTAAGTAAATGATTTCATAAATTAAATTTATAATATTTATGTGCAGGCACAGAAACTTAGTGAGGAAGCACATACAATGGGCAGTTTGCAGTGTACGAGAGTGTCCGCAGAGTTGAAGACGGCACGATCGATAGTGAGGCTGACAGAAATCCAGGCAACGTTACAGGAACAAAGGTAAGTACCCCACGTTGTTATAGTATATTTAATAAGTGTACGATAAAAGGATTATTCATGAATTTTTGTTACCTCGCTTGTTTACTTGCTATTTTAGGATATTATTCCTCCGTCAACAAATTCAAACACTGGAGGAGTTAAAATCCCAAAATTCCTTCATGTCTGACGATTCTTAGTGTAAGAATCTTTATAAAATAATTATGATTACAATCTATAATTAATTCAAGCAAAATAAAACATGATTATTAATATTCTCATTAATATTGAATAATTAAGATTGTACCTAAATTATAATATCGTAATAGAAGTGATATATAGCGAATGAACATGGGCTGCTCAGAGAGGATCGGCTGTTCCATTTATCAGCCAACGAGTCTTAATAACTAATTATTGAATTTATTAGTGAATCCACCTCTCTGAGAAGCACAGCAGGCCTATCCAAGTCGCAAACACAACAGTAAATGATGATTAGAAAAACGAATGAATTTTATCAGTTCAATGCAAACTGAATTGTATATCTGAATTGTCCACATCGTCTTGTATTTACCTATGTTATTCGTGTCAATGTTTCATATCCCAAGTTTAAGCGGCATTTTAACTAGTTGAAACATTTTTGTTGTAAATCTCGGAATAAAATTCGTGCCACAAGTTTTAATACAGTTCTTTATCAGCCATAGTCTCACTTACCTAATCTCCTGAATTTTTCGTTGAGAGGGAGAGAATCGCTTGTAGAGAACTTATACTAAATACATTTACACACATATTAAATATGACACGGGGAATTATATATTTTACATTCAGATTTGTGTTCGATCTCCAATCATTTTATTACAGGGTTTTTTGACATTTGTAGAATGTATCATCGCTGAGCAAGTATTGATATATTATTATACATGCTCCCCTATTTACATCGTGTAATTAAAAAGTATAGCAATGACGAAATTTTTAGAATAACAAATGGCCACCATTTAATTTCTAATATGTAAATAGCAGAATCAGAGTGAGTATTATTTACGAACGACATAATTTTATGCATGGCAAACTTTTTGAGTTGATAAGAACATTATTGTATCGAAACTATGGATCTAAAATAAAAATACGCATTTTTTATATTATAATATTACAGATAACTCGTTTTACTTTATTCGTAATCTCCCCTATACAACTGTGAAGAAACACAAGTAAGATTTTGTTATGTTGTATCCATAATCCTAGCGTTTAACAAACGTAGCACTGTATATGAAGTAGTCGATAGTATCGCGAATTGTAATCGTTATTTAAAGAGCTATATTGTTAAGGAATTCTTTAATGAGGTATTTTGAACCGTTTTTCACACTGTATAACTTATTTATTTGAATAAAATTCTGCTGGTTAATGAAAAAAAAGGGGTATATTGAACGAGAATATACTGAAAAGAATTGTTTGCATATCGTACTGTTGAAAATCATCCCTTATCTTTTGAAATAGATTGTTACAACAGTTTGTAGAGCGATATATAAATGTGTATATGTATACAATTTAGGATGTCAAAAACCACGAATGTGATACGATAATTCACAGTAGGTATCTCTTATTTTGTATATTTCTTTGAGGAACTGTCAAGGAGCGATTCTACTACTTACAAGATTAAAACAAAATGAAAGAACGTATTCGTAACATACTTTACTTTATCTAAACATCAGGAATTGCGATTGAATTTATGTTCTAACGTTAGATTATTTTTGACCTAAAGAATTTTGATATGGATCTGCACACTTCGTGATTTTTCCTACATATATACGTACTAGGAAAATTATTTTAACGTATTTATATAAGCGTGTGCACATGCTATAATAAAATTCTTTAGTTCAAACCGATAGTCACTAAATGCCCTCCTCTATACCTCTTTTGTTTCTAAATATAAAATAAAACTATATAACCCAAATTCTTCAACATCGTATTTTACTTGGTATTTTTTATATATCCTATATATTTGTATATATATTATATATAATTTATCGTATAATTATATGATTATTTATGTATAATCATATAATTACATGCGCGAATACATAATTATATAATCGTTATGGCTAAACAGAGGAGATTAGTATTAAGAGTAGTACTCATAATCATGTATCCTATACGGTGTTTCTCAACACAAGCTCCAAGTAACTCTTAAATATTACAAATGCTATCCATTAAGGCAATGTCACCTTTATTCATTACAGATAAATCGAACCTTAACTCCTCAGAGAATCGATACTGCTCTTTGCGTTTCTGCTCCACAAAAAAATTCCGCATATGTTACATATACTTTTATTGTTATTATTGCGAGTATTATTGACGTCGCTTATGTCTATACATTCTGCATCAAATTAAAATGCATTTAACAAATTTACCGTATCATCTTAAAGGAAGAAATTCTGGCTTACACAGCTTTAAAGATACTTTTTCGATGAAATAATATTTATTTATATATTATATTTATATATGTATATAAAAAAACCCTTTTAATCACCGTAAGCGTATTTCGTCGACTTTGCTTGTGCGAATAAAGATGGCTTTTCTTACACCTTGCATATTACATATTTTAATAAGTATCTTTCGAATTGTTCTATGATTCATCGGTTGAGAAACACCAATGCGGTTTTTTTTTCGTATCAACTAATGTTACATCATGTCATGAGAATGTAACGGCATCCCCATAGCACCTGAAGCATACAGTGAACATTCTCCCACGTATTATTTTATTTAATTACAGTCAGTCATTGGATTTATTTCATAACAAACTCCCTCATTTCTTTATTAGATAATTGCTTAATGCATTCTCGATAGATATTCAGAAAAATTCAGTACAATGCATAATTTCCAATGGACTAAGATTATAATAAGGCCTCAGAATATTTGACATATTGTAACACCCCATGGCTCATAGGAATATTACATAAAAGTACGTAGTCATCATAAAACCTTGGTGTTCCTGTTGGTGTAAAAAAAAAACTATTGCGTAAAAGAATATAGATTCTCTAATGCGTTTTATAAGCCTGAAAATAATATTATCTATGATTTTATACATGGTATTAAATTATCTTTTGTTATGCAATTATACGAATTTATTATACATAAAAGACATCGAAAAGAAAATTTCTATCAGATATGGGATGTTACATATCTACTGTGTTGAACATTTTTAATGCAGTACTCTTCAGATATTTATGCAAACATATTACAATGGAGAGTATATAAAGTGCTACAAAACAATTCCAATATGCTTTATAGTCGTTTAATACATCTACGTTACACGTTCATTATGTATTTGTAAGGCCATATACGAAATTTAATACAAAGATATTGCCTCTCTAGACAATATACTCGATATATTGATTAATTTGGAAATTTGTCTATTCATAGACAAATGGACGACACAGCCTCAACAGAGAATGTTCACAGTGTAAGACAGCAGCACAGACATATCTCAGCGCAACCTCCCTTTACCATTAATTATATCATCCTCATTTTGCAATCGTGTGAAGCAGAGTCTTATTCGATTACGTTCAAAAGATCCTTTGTAGATATTATTATTAGGTATGGGAGTCCACTTAAAAACTAAAATAAATTTCACCTATGTGATTTGTTTTAAATTATCAACTATTTATCGGTACACACGTTCGATTAACTTTACACATACCTGCATCACAGAGTTTCCTTGAAATCACCCATACACTGGCATTACGTATTTAATCAACATTGTTTACACGTTAAATGAAAAATGTATCTACAAAGGGTATTTTGACAGTGTTAAAAATACAAGATCTACATAGAAACTATATCGTATGAATTTTTGCCTCTTAACAATGTACAGAACTTAATGTTTATACATGTAAATATTACATAACAACGGATAAACAATGTTTAACAGAATGTTTTGTACCTAGGTGTCTACTATGGCATAAGATAGGTCATGTGCCGAGTTATTCTTGGCTACTGTCAAGTCTAAGCCAATATTATACACAACTAGTCTGTTTTTAAATAAGATGCGCATGATTTCAATGATATATTAATCATTACTACACGCCATCTAACTGCTTTTCGCTTTAGGGGCTTCTAAAAAGAATGGTTTATACTGCCTATTTCAAAATTATATAAATTCATGTCATTCTAAGAATTGCACTTATAGAAATTATTCTAACACGTTGTATTATAATAAGAGATATCGAAGAGTTTCTTACATAATAAAAATTGGTAAATTAAACTTTTTATTATTTGTAAACAATTGATAGATTTGTAAAGATTTTAAAAAATGTTATTTTTATTTTATTTTCAGATTTTTATTCATCTTAACAACATGTACAGTGATACAAATGAATAGACCTGTTCACTATTTCAATTTCATTCGAATCAAAACCGAATTAAATCACATCTTCATTATCCAAAATAATAGAAACTTTTTAGAAACCCCATAGTAATGTATCCTCATTCAACATATTCCTTCTTTCAAATTTAGCTCACTCACTCTATGGTAAAACACACAACAATATAATATAATACCTATCAAAATGGCATTCAGTATTTTCTTATATGATTATTTCATTCAATATATAAAAAAAATATATAATTTCGACTACTCAATGGAAACGTTCAGTAATCGTCAGTTTGTACTATCCGAATGCCATTTTCGTGTATATTACACTTTTCCTGGACTAGTTCTACAAAGATTGTGTAGGGCTGCCCATGAAATTCTAATTGAAATATAATTAATACCTATATATACGTGTATGTGTAAATAGTGGGACTTTATTGATATATAGTCAGTTCACAATGCTCGTAATGTCGATATAAAACCATGTATTATAATTATAAATGTCTTTAGACTGGCATCGTAAATACTAAGATGATTAAATTTAGTTACACATAGAACCGTGTAAATTTTTGGGAAAATAATATAAACTCGTATCGAAAATGAAAATCTAATTCATAACAGTAAACATAAAAGTTCACAATTTGTAATAAAATGTCTACGCAAGATGAAAAAGCTCAACATTTTATATAACGAAAAAAATATTCGAGGAAACATTACTTTTGAAAGTTTAAGCAAGGTAATGTACTATGAGACGAAAGTATTTATGAAATAATATTACATAAAATAAAATTGATTTAAAATTATTATAAGAATGTGTTTTTTGTTCTCTCAAACTCATCTTGTCTACTTGAAAATTTTTCTCGTTAAAATGTATCAAAAATATTTAAGTGTACTTAATTGTTTTCATCTATGTTTAGTTAAAAAAAAAAATACGATGCCTGCACATGTAGTACGTCGAAATTAAACCTAACAAGTTTCGCATCAAGACCCTTCTACAAAATGTGCTGTGAGCTGTGACTGACTTATACTTACCTGAACGGGTGGCAATCTCCCACTAGTATTTATCTCCAATTGCACACATTAAGTGCTAATTAGTTTTCTTCATCGAGGTACTTTTCGATTTCGGCAAATATGTATGCTATCTTGAGTACGTCATGTCGATACATCGTGTCCAATTTTTTGGTAAGGTCTCAGTAATGCAACGCCATCACGATTCACTGGCTTCATGCCAACTCCAAGATATTATTTTCGTTATAACTTGTATAATTTAAATAATTTATAATTTACATTTCCTGTAGACTGAGAGACAGAGAGTAAGAGAGAAAGAGAAAGAGAGAACACAAGTGGTTGTACGCAAGCATGTTCGGTTAGCTTCGGGTTACTATATTACAAAGATGCTTGGTATATACCACCACATTGCAATTGATTGATGTATGACAGATTTTCATTGTACATCATTTTATATTTAATTAGTTTAATGTAGACACACTCAGATACACAGACAGACGTAAAGACGCACCTGAGTGTATGCTTGAACGTGTTGTTATATCTCTCTACCGCGCGCATCTACGAAATGCTTTTTTGATTTTCCGTGGTGCTGGTGCCGATTGAGGTGGAGCGCTGTAAAGTGAAATATATTATTTAGCACATATTCCGTCAAGTACTTACAGGCGTAAAGGCCTGTGTCCACGATGCTAGAACTTGGT